GCACCAAGCATATTCAGGCACCGCAGAGAATATCTCCGGAATATGCTGCATTTTTTTCTTTCTTCTTCTTTCTGTGACAGTCACAAGTCTTTGATCCGCTCTTCCTTCCCTCTCTCGCCTCACCTTCTTTCAAATTCTTCTCTGCTGCTGAGATTTCTGTAACGTCAAACTCAAAGTGTCGCCCATCTATTTCGACAACTTAAACATAAATTATAATTATTATTATATAAGTTATTTACCAAATTACAATGATTAACTTAACGTTAACGTGCCATGTGTGTTCATTAGTGTTTGTGTGGTTTATGATTTATTGGTGATAATGATTTTGTTTACAGGGTAAGACTCCTTCACAACTATGGATTTTTGGGGTTTAAAGTAGAGGAAAATTACACATCATCTTTCATTTAAATTTGCTCTTCCTCCACAACCCTACAAAAGTCAGACCTACTGAACGTCCATGTATAATAGAATATATATGTGTATTAGTTTATTTGGAAGATTAATCGTTTGAATTCATTTCTTGAGTCACTTTCCTTCTAATCTTCTAACTTTAGACCACATCTCTTTAATGGATAAACAAGTTGTGCTGTAGGCATCTAGCTGAGGAATTATTGTTGTCAGTTTGTGGAGGAGTGAAACCTCTGACCCTCTGCTGCTTTGGCACATTTTCTCCTTGTGTTAGCTTATAGTCATCATAATGAGCAGTGAAAATACACTAACCTTCATTTAACTGGGAGAGCCCTTGAAGGCGAGGAACCACTGCCTTTGACCATCAACAGGTTTGAGTAAGATGGAGACTCCGGGGATCAGATTGTAGTGATCTGCCAGAAGGAAAACAAGGATGTGAGTTCGATAGCTCATTAGCCTTTTCCAAACTGATTAGTTATGGGGTCCATACAGGGAACTCCCACAGGAACACCAGTGTTTTTACACAGAGCTGCGAGTGCTGCACGGTCATATAGTCAGTTTGTATTTTTATTTTTGTTTTAAAAGCTGCATTCAGACAGGTTAGTCTCATATGATAATTCCTGCTAAGAGAGGATAAAGGTTGTCTACTAAAATAGACTAGTCTAGATTGCCCCTCTAAAGCATGTAGGTCAGATTCACTTCCAAGAGCTAAATTAGTTTCCTGTTGGCGGTAGAGAAGTCCAACTTAGTTTCTGAACTGCACATAAAACCTCCAATGAACAGGCCCCAAGTATTTTTTGAACTATCCTTTTTTGTGCGTAGGTGAGACTCCAGCACACATCTTTGTCCTGAAGGTTTAAAAGCTAAATAAGTTCCTTTTATTATCCTCACTTTGAGGCACAGAATTGGACTAAACTGCCTCCAAAGACAGCAAACTTCAGACTGAGATTCAGGGAATGGCAAAGCTAAAAGAAAGTGTGTTATGTTGTATGTTTTGGGGTAAATATTTGTGACTGGATACAAAACCCACTTGCATCTGAAAAGCTATATTTAGCAGCTTCATATTATTGCTCCCCCCCCCCCATTTATTTCCCTGACATTTACCACCAATTCACCGCTATGGGTTTTAGAGGGTTTCACTGTTTTGTCCTTGATAATTGTAAACACGGTGTGCTTTAATAGTTGCTGAAAGTACACTGAAATCGTAACAGGATGGCAGTGAGAAGACCCTAGCAACAGGGAGAGGATGAGGAAAGCGTGAGTGTGGGAGGGAGGGGGAAAGATGCAGAACATCAATAAATAATGGCCCCACTGAGGAGGTGGAAATATGGGCCTCGTTATCTTTGCGCCGACGCCTTCATTTGCATGTGAGAAAATGAGGCTGCTACACGCTCGCACACACACTCACACAAACTCTTGGACTCACACGAGCTCCAGTATTTATCCTATTTATAGACTCTCTGCTTTTATTTTTCCTATTTTCTCTCGCACATTAATACTTCCATTATTTTCCCTTTTCTTTCCTCCTCTTGTCCTCTTGTCCTCTTGGAATTTGTCATAGCAGCAGGTCTGGTCTGTTGTGTGACTGCGAGGCCACGGGCATTTTGTTGGATTAAAAAAATAAAGCAAAAGCAAACCTTTATTATTCAAGAGACGTTGGCTAAGGACATGCAGTAGGATTCATTTGAGTTCATTTTATATTACATACATAAAGACGTAGCAAACGGTTATACACACAATCACAGGGTAGCTGCCCAGTGCTGCCACTGAAAATCACAAGTGCAGCTGGAAATTAAATACCTTTTTCATGCGTTTCACTTATTTGCTGGAGCCTTTCAGCTGGTCTGTGGATTTGAATTAGCTTCAAATAAATGTGTCTTACCTAATGAATAAGTGTAGATATGTAAAGGATTAAAATTGTCTATGTATGCTATTGTGCATGCACTTATGTGAACATAAGTAGTAAAAGAAATAACCTTGTTTTTGTTGAAGCTTTTTGAAACCTATCATTTAAATATTGTGTTTATTTTTTCTTGACTTTATATTTAACATTTTTGTAAAGCTTGAGAATAATATATATATATATTTGATAGTTTGAGTTTTTCTGTACCCCTCTGGACCCCATCTGCATCAGGAACACATGAACAATTTCGCTCAACGTTTTTCTATGAATGGGTCTCAGTGAAACCAAACTCATACAAAATCCAACAATGTTGATATCCTCTAGGCAATACAGCTTCTTTCAAAAAGCTTCTTTCTGGGTGAAAGAACTCTTTAAAGAACTATTCATAGTTGACGAAAAATATTTGAACGTCTAAATGGTTCCTTCAAAGCTTTTTTGAAGATCCTTGAGTGCTTCCATCTTTTACCTAATGGTCCTTTTGGTTTCTTAGTTCATGGTGTTTTGTAAAACAAACGGCTCACGTGGCTATTGAAATATACATATTACAACGTGGGTCAACTCACCAGAAAAAGTTGGAAGAAGGAGGCATTATGTGTGCAATCCCAACTAAGGAATTTCTCTGTGGAGTTTGTGTGTTCACATTTCTTCCAATTCGATTCAACATGCTTGTTTGAGACATATTCCTAGATGCTTAGTGCATTTGGATGAGTTAAACTGGAAGACAAACAGGTTTGTGTAAAAATGTTCAATACTTGCCCTATACATTTTTCATAACCTTTTTAACAGGATCATGTGAATGTGGCAGAATTGAAAAAACACTAACAACCGTTTAATACTTGGAGCTCTTGCATACATGCATGTCTGCATGTTTTGTTGCAGCTGTGTGTGTGTCTATGTCTATGTGTGTTTGTGTGTGTGTGTGCATAATGCACATTAGCTCTGTTTCTAGTTATCTAGTCAAGTCAGCATGAATAAAAGCTGAGGGAGCACAGTGATTTAGTAATTAATATTTTATTCTGTCTGCCACTCTGCTTAGAGACTGAGAGCAAGAAGCTGAGGGAGAGAAAAAGGGTGAGAGAGACGATAAGAGGTTTCACACAAAGAGGTGAAGCGAGTCGACTAAAGATAAACTGGTAGACTGATTCTGTGTACAAGCCACTCAGTTAAGAAATAATGTGATGTTCATTGTGTAATCAGCGCTGTTTCTGAGGCGCCACTGCAGATGGGATGAATTCCGTCCCCTGCTGAAAACAGAAAGTGTGGCTTTGACGGATCCAGTTGACTCTTTCTCTCTCCCTGCATATGTCAGAGTGTTGTGACAGGCGAGTTGTCGGTGTTGTGGGAGTAGCAGACTTAAAGTGCTCATTATCCTGTAAGGCTTCATTCTAGGGGGCAAACAAAGGCTGCTGTGAAATTGCAGCCTGTGCCTCCTCTCGGGTCATACAGTATATTCCTTGCAAACACATGAACAGTCCATAACTGCTACCTTCAGTATTGCTGCTCAACCCTCCGCTCAAGACCTCGACAAACACAGTGCTTGTAGAAAAATATTAAAAAGTGTTAAATTTTGATGCTGATAAACACACAGGTGCACCTAAATGCAGCTTATCCAGCTGTTGGCTTGTAGCTTGGATGCTAAAAGACACAGGTGGTAGCTATAATATATATTTTTACAAACCTAAACTAACCTTATTGTATAGCAGCAACCATTTTGAAATATGTCCCACTTACAGTAAGCTGTGAGACAATTGCTGTTGCATTTGTTTAAAGGTCCAATGAAATGGCTTCATTGATGGAATGTATTCCCTCTTGAAAAAGGATGTTGGGGCAGGACATAACACAGTGAGGCATCAACCTTGTCTTTAAGTTTAATCTGATCGAACGGGCAGAGGCCAAATTGTTGAAAAATTTGTGATGACTTTATTGGCTGAATGCTTTTAATTACACCCATTAGCACGAGGTCACAAATGAAGATACTGTGTTTACCAGTGACTAGCTAGCATTACCTCAAAGTCTGTGCTTCAGTTACAGTTAACCAATGTCTGAGTTTACCTTAAAATGCAAACTTATATTCTACTTGTACTTCAGGAGGGGCAAATGGAACAGAATGTGTGTGCATGTGTACCTGTATGCAACAAAATTAACAGTTACCCGGAGAATACCTGGACTTCTCTCAGAAGACAGTCAATAGACACAGCATGAAAACTTTGGGTTATTTTTAAGTAACCATGGAGTAGCATAAAATGTGAGGCAAAACAAATTCTATGAAAGAGAACAGGCAGCTCTCATCACACAGTAGCACACCTGATCTCTGGCCTTCCATTGTTGTTGCCACACTTGAAAGGAAGAACATTTAGATAGTTTGGTGATGATAGTGTGGTGCACGAGAGTTTTACGTAGAGGGACAATAAATCTGTCTCTGCACTGTCTATGGGTGGTGTGAGTGACCGCTGTGTGTCCTCCAGGCCTTGAAAGAGGGCCAGGTTTTGGGAAGCAACATTATCAGGCAGGTTGTGCCAACTGTTCAGGCAGCTGTTTGTTCTTAGCACAATACGGTTTTGCAGTGAGCACAATGGATTTGGACCAGAACGATCATCTTAGTGCAGTTAATAACTGGGTGTTTCTGTCTGTCAGCAGTTTTCTTTTGTGGAAATTAATGTTAAGTCTTTACTGAATTTGTCTTCCCTAGGTAACAGGTTCTTGCTGACCTCCTTCGGGGCTCTTTACATCTCTGATGTTCAGAAGGAGGATGCCCTCTCCACATACCGGTGCATCACCAAACATAAGTACAGCGGCGAGACGCGCCAAAGCAATGGAGCCAGGCTCTCTGTAATGGGTGAGCAGCTTGGTGTTTGCTCAAGTTAGCCTGATCTTACTCTTTGTCTTGACCAAAATAATAACCCTATCTCTGTCCTCCAGACCCAAATGAGTCCTCACCCACCATCCTGGACAGTTTCCAAGCAGGGGAGGTGTATGCAGGCCAGAGTATTGAGCTCCCCTGCACAGCGGGAGGTTACCCCAGCCCCACTGTGCGCTGGCTGAAAGATGGTCGCCCGCTACCCTCGGACGCCCGCTGGACACGGCGTTTGACAGGGCTGACTATCAGTGACCTGAGGCAGGAGGACAGTGGCAGCTACGCATGCGAGGTCACCAACAGTTTTGGCTCAAAGGAGGTGTCTGGACAGCTTCACGTTATAGGTGTGTGAGCACAACTCACACATTCACAAGCAACCTGACAGACTCCCACACCATCGTCTCAGTGAATCAGCATGGCAGACGGACACATTCACAAACTCCTCTCCTTTTGGTTTGAGGCACACATATAAGTCGCACCGAGAGTGTGTCTGTAACAAACATGTGTGTGAGCTGGATGATGCCCCGTCATATCAGGTCTCAAAAAGGGAGACAGGGCAATAATTCACTGAGACTGAATCCGTAACACAGCTGCCAGCACTGTTAACCATCAGAGAGAAGGAGGGTGAGGAAGACGGAGTTAAATACGAGGGGTCACGGAGGGGACGATCAGACACCCAGACAGTGCTGGAATGACATTATCTACAATGTAATAACAAGATAATAAGAGAGGCTGAGATAAATGGACATTGTGTAAAGTATACAATGAAACAAAGAGCGGGAGAAGGCGAGACAGAGGGAGAGAATAGAGAGGCGGTAGGCTTTGCCAGTGGGCACATCATGGCAGCACACTCTGTGACTCTGACAGGGTTAGGGGGGGTTGGGAGGCACAGAGATGCCCCGCAGCACACACCACCAGCTGCCTTATTGCTCACTGACATTTTCACACACACACACACACACAAACATGCACGCACACACGCATACGCACACACACACGCACACACTCTCTAACACAAAAACAGACAGACACACTTACACACACAAGTGGACAGAGATGTGAAGAGATATCTCCAGCTGCTTTTTTAATGAGTGCGTCGAACTGATTGAGTCACCACCACTGATTGTGCGCTCTCCCTTTCTGCCCGTCTCTATGAATGTAAAAGCCTGCTGTATATATGAATCCATGTGTCACATCTTGAATCCATTTGGTCAGTTTTAGGAGATGCAAAAATTGGTATCACTTGGCAATAAGACGTACTTAAAAAGTATGTTATTATAAGTTTTATTTCTAAACTAAATAATTGTTTCTAATTGATTTATAAACAACAAACAATTTGTTTATAAATCAATTAATACATCATTAATGTTGTGCATGATAGTGATAGCCCAAAGTAGTATATAATTAAAATTTTAAATCTGGCTACACAAAATATATTTTTTCTGATGAGTGAATACCTGAGTTATTAACCACCAATAAATTACAAATAACAACTAATTTTTTATAAATATAATTTACTGTGCAGTGGTACCGGAAAATTCTATAATCTTTGCATTTATGAAAAAATACACGCTGTACTATGCTGTACTAACAGCAACATATATTACTAATAATAATTGTACTTGTTTTACAAATCAAGATACACATTTCTTTATGGTGTAACATAAAAAACAGAAAATGCATAAACCAAAAGAAAGACAATATATATTTTGGAGTTTTGTTATGCATCTGTGATCTAACAAACAACATGCGTCCTTCTCTCAGACCCACTACGAGTGACTTTGTCCCCAAAGAATTTGAAAACTGGCATCAGCAGCACACTCTTCTTTACCTGCACGGTGGAGGGCTCTCCAGAATACACCATCACCTGGTACAGTAACACCGAGCCCATCGTCCCCGACCAGCACATCTCCATCCAGGGACAACACAATGACACCCTGCAGATCACCGCAGCACAGAAGTTCCACTCTGGGGCTTACCAGTGCTTCGCCTCCCGAAAGGGCCACACTGCTCAGGACTTTTCCATTATTCTGCTAGAGGGTACGTGGACAGAGACAGCCAGGGAGCTAAACAAGTGCAGATTCTGTATAAATATGGATGCAGCAAGAATCATTACAGCACTGCAACAACAAGATGACAGGAAACCAGAGTCGTTAAATGTAAAGCTTCTACTTTTACTGCTGACTTTTATTCTTTATCTGGATTCTGGTACTTAAATTGTTTGCCATTGCAAATGTCACTGATAGGACACTACAGAGCTGTTTGTCATTAAACAAATTCAGAAAATCATTTGACTTCAAAAATGCAGCAGAGTTGGTGACATGAACAGGTCTAAATACAACTTGTTGAACATGCTGCTTTTCTGTCAGAATTTCTCACCACTCCGTCTTTATGTCCTTCTCTCTCTCTGTCTCCTCTCAGATGGTACTCCTCGTATTGTGTCTTCCTTCAGCGAGCGGGTGGTGAACCCCGGCGAGCCTTTCTCCCTCATGTGTGCAGCCAAAGGAGCCCCACCCCCCTCCATCACCTGGACGCTGGACGACGAGCCCGTGGTGCGAGACTCCACCTACAAGACAAGCCAGTACACCCTGTCAGACGGCCTGACCGTGTCACACGTCAACGTCAGCAGCCCGCTCATTCGAGATGGGGGAGTGTATCGTTGCGTCGCACGCAACTCGGCTGGTAGCGCCGAGTACCAAGCGCGCATAAACGTAAGAGGTGCCTGTCTGCTTTTCAATATAAATGCACTCTACACCTGACTATACAACACACAAGGGCTAGGGAGAGGCATAGAGCACTTTGCATTTCACATACAGTTACATCTATCTATTTATCTATCTATCTAGCACAACAAAGGCAGCAAACAGCAACTAGAGAAGCAGTGATCTTGAGAAAAAAAAGGTTTAGTTTTCAGGCTGGCCAGCAAACTGTGTTACAGATAATTGAGGTTGTAATGCCTTAATTTTATCTATAATCTGAAGGTAATTAAGTACACACACTCAGAATATCTGATGAGGCAAAAATCAACAAATATCCTCAATCAAATTTTAGTAAAGGGAGCATAACTAACCTCCCTGTCCACCTGTCAACTTGCCCCAATCACTCTATCCCTCAACCTTTATCTCCTCACCTCCTGTCTCCGTGGCTGCTCCCTGTACTCTGCCATGACCTCCGTCACCTCATCTGCCCCTCTCTCTCCGACCTCTGTGTCTCTCTCTCTCTGTCTCCTCCCTCCATCCCCTCTCTCTCTTCCCCGTGTCTCCAGGTCCGCCCCGAATCAGACCCATGCGGGACATCACAGCAGTGGCGGGCAGGAACACCTACATAACGTGCCGTGTGATTGGCTACCCATATTACTCCATCAAGTGGCTGAAGGACGGCATGCAGCTGCCTGATAATCATCGTCAAGTGGTGTTTGAGAACGGCACCCTGAGGTTGACGGACGTGCAGAAGGGCGCCGACGAGGGCACCTACTTGTGTAGCGTTCTGATCCAACCCCAGGTGTCAATCAACCAAACCGTTCATGTCACTGTCAAAGGTTAGCATAAAGAGAAGAATGGATTCAAAATGATATAACTGCACTGGGCAGTGTTTTTCAAAATATACATCCATCTTATGAATCTAAATCATGAAGTGAGGCAATAGAGAGTGACCCATCTACCTGACTGGGATGTTCTGTTGTTTCACCCTATTTTGCCTGGAGGTATTCCTGTTTGTTGTGGGCATTTCTTTGTGCACATCACTGCATCCAAAATACACAATGTCTATTAGAAAAGTACGGAGAAAGCAACTTGTCCAAGTAAAGTTATATTAGTTCTGTGTGCAGACGCCAGCAAAGGAGATTTCCGGATATCAGAGTACCTAGTCACTACAAACTGGAGACACCAATGTTGTGCAGTGCAGCTTTACATTAATGGCAGAGGTAGCTGGTGTTTGAGGATAGATTTATGTTTCAGTGTGGGGTAAGGATGGTAGCAGGGCAGCTGCAGAGGTGTTTAAGGGTGTGTGCATGTGCCTGCGTGTGAGTGTGTCTCTGATTTAATTAGATGAATAGTAATGAAGCCTAGATTAAATCCCCCAGATGTCTCAGCTGTAGTACCCCCACCCCACCTCCATTACTATGGCAACGGAATGACTTCCTCCTGCCAATTGGACTCTAACCAGAGCAGCTATTATGGGCTGCAGGAGATGGGGGCTGAAGGAGGGGAAGAGAGGGGCCCACTAGCCAATGACCTTCTCTCTCTCAGCATTGCTCCAGATGGCCACGCTGCCACTCTGCCACGTCTATCGCTGCTTTTATTCCACTGACTCTCTGCACTCTTCCTCTCTCCCCCAGTGCCACCCCTCATCCAGCCCTTTGATATCCCCTCTACCTCAGTGGGGAAGCTCATGTACATTGCCTGTGTGGTGTCATCTGGGGACATGCCCATACGCATCACCTGGCACAAAGACGGCCAGCTCATCGTGCCAGGCTCTGCCTCTGGCGTCGCAATAGAGACCAAAGAGTTCATGAGCTCCCTGCAAATCTCCAAGGTGACACTGAAGCACAACGGAAACTACACCTGCATTGCCAGCAACGCCGCCGCCACCGTCAGCTGGGAAAGACAGTTGATTGTTACTGGTGAGGGATTGAGCAAAGGGAGAATGGCATGATGATGAATTAGGTCAGATCGGATGTGATACCTTCTGTGTGGTGGGAGCGTAGATTTGTCCATGTTATTTTAGGAACACTAAGAGTAAGACTTTCCTTTAGTTCTCCCATTTAGGTTAATCACATCTTTTTGTTTCTCAGTGCCGCCACGTTTTGTGGTGCAGCCCAACAATCAGGATTGTATCTACGGCAAAGCTGGAGTTCTCAACTGCTCTGTGGAGGGTTACCCACCTCCAAAAGTCATGTGGAAACACGCCAAAGGTAAAATCAGCAAATCACCTTGACAACATCTACAACATTGCAATAACGAGATGACATGAGGAAGGAGAAATCAAAGCAGTAACATGCATTTACATTGTGTTGTGTGGTGTAGGTGTAGGAAACCCTCAGCAGTACCACCCGGTCCCTCTAACTGGCCGTATCCAGATCATGTCAAATGGCTCTCTGCTCATCCGACACGTGCTTGAGGATGACCGAGGATACTACCTCTGTCAGGCCTCCAACGGAGTGGGCTCAGACATCAGTAAGAGCATGATCCTCACTGTCAAGAGTAAGTGTCAATCATACCCTCTTTGGCTTGAACACACTTTCATAACCACATGACATGGATTGCACATCTACTGTATACAGAGACAAGCCTTAGCTTTTATGAAAGGCATCAGCTCTAAGATGCACTTTTACCCCCAGGCTAGTGCGGCCAGTACTGAACCTATCAAAACCTTGTCTCTGTCCTGCACATCCTTAACTGGGAGTATCTTTGCTATTGATTGATGTGTCCCGGCTGCCGGCCTATGTACTTCTGAATGTTTGGTGGGGAAAAGGGCTGATGAATTAGTGATGAAAACAAAACCACAGGAATCCCTTCAATCAATAATCTATGTCTGAGGAAAGGAGGTGGAAAAGAATCAGGAGTAGAACAAGGCAGAAAGGGAGGAGGTAGCATAAGAGGGCCAGCGGGGCTTGAAGCGTGAAATGAAAATGGAGAACAAAGTGCAGAGATAGAGATGTCTATACATCTGTAATATATCCTCAGATTCCAATACTATATCCCTTTTCCCTCGTCTCATTACTCCAGATAATACTATTCGTCACACTGACATGTATCTTTGATTCTGCTCAGTTCCTGCCATGATCACCAGCCACCCTAACACCACCATGGCGAGGAAGGGTCAGACCAAGGAGCTGAACTGCACAGCACGGGGCGAGCAGCCCATCATCATCCGCTGGGAGAGAGGAGACACCGTCATTGACGCTGAGAGAAATCCCCGCTACTCCATCACCATCAACAAGAAGGGGGACGAAGTCATCTCTACACTTAAGGTCAGATACAGAATAAAACACCCAACATAATGCCCTCACACCAATGCTGAGGATTGTTTGATGCTGTGAAGAAAACACAGAGCAAAGAATAATGGGAATTAGTTATTTGGCAGCAAGTCATTTAGGCATAACACAGATCAAGTTACTACTACATAATGTCTCTCAGCTCTTAAGCAATAGTTTGACCTTTTGGGAAATACACTCCTTCACATTACTGTAGAGAGCTGGGGAAGCTCAATACTGCTCTCCTTTTTCTCTGCTAAGTAGCCAGGTTAGTTGTTCCTCCCTGTTTCCAGACAATGTTAAGCTAAGCCGACTGGCTGCTGGTTGTAGCTTCATAGTTAGTGGACATGAGAGCGGCATCAATCTTCATATCTAACTCTCAGCAGGAAAGTGTATTTTCCAGAATGTTGAATTATTGCTTGAAGTGCCTACGTTATGACATTTAGTTTACACATATTTTATTAAAAAGTGGTGTCTGGCATCAAACAATATAGATTTAAAGCTCATTATTAGCTTAATTGAATTATTGCGGAATGTTTTTATGATGCGTGTTACTGCTGATGTCTGTTGTTATTTTCTGCACATTTTGTGACACATTGTAACCTTTTTCTGTTTGTGCTGATGCTTACAGCTGAACCCAGCTGAGCGAGGAGATTCTGTTTTCTTCTCCTGCCATGCCATCAACTCCTATGGAGAGGGTCGAGGTCTCATCCAACTCACTGTGCAAGGTATCTCTACCACATACTGTGCATGTCTCACAAACTTCTTTAAATTTACTGAAACATTAGGCCTCATAACACAGCACATGCAGATATGTACAAAAAATTGCTAGTGAACAGGTCTCACCTCCTCTCTCTCTTTCTCTCTCTCTCTCTCTCTCACACACAGAACCACCAGATCCTCCTGAACTTGAAGTTAGGGAGGTGAAGGACAGGAGCATGAACTTGCGCTGGATCCAAAGATTTGATGGAAACAGCATCATCACCAGCTATGACATCGAGTACAAGAACAAGTCAGGTAGGAGTCCATTTAAATATGCCCATGTCAGGTTTTTTAAGAAACCTGCCTTCAAAATCTCAAATCTTTTTGTATTTGACAGACTCCTGGGATCACATGTACACAACCAGGAACATCTCACCCACCAACAACCAGGCCAACATTGTGGAGTTGCACCCGGCCTGTGTGTACAGCATCCGCATGTACTCCTACAACAAGATTGGCCGTAGCCTTCCCAGCAAAGAGCTCACAATCAGTACAGAGGAAGCACGTGAGTGATTGTTTTCTGCTCTAGAAATTACACTTGTCTGATGTTTCCCCTATGTCTGCCTTACTTTGTCTCTGTATGGAATGGGGCTATGAGTATTGACGGTAACACTTTATTCGACAACAGCACCTGACGGGCCGCCAATGGACGTAATCCTCCAACCGATGACATCTCAGAGCATACGGGTTACATGGAGGGTAAATTCATTACTATGCTACTACAGCATGCTTCTATGACTTCTATATTCATATGACCACATTCACCCATCTACTGTATATAATGTTTTGTATATGTTTGTTTTTGTGAGGGAACAACAACTTAATCTCATGATACAACTGTGTGCACTTAAATATTGACCACTATCACCACATTTCTTTCAGGCTCCTAAGAAGGAGCTGCAGAACGGAGTAATCCGAGGCTACCAGATCGGTTACAGAGAGAACGGACCAGGCAGCAATGGCCAGTACAGCATAGTGGAGATGAAAGCTACAGGGGACAGTGAAGTGTACACCTTGGACAACCTGAAGAAGTTTGCCCAGTACGGGGTTGTAGTTCAGGCCTTCAACAGAGCTGGGACGGGTCCATCCAGTACTGAGATTAATGCTACCACGTTGGAAGATGGTATTATACATTCTTGTCTATAATTTTATTTGTTTGTTTAACTGCTATTTTTAGGTAAAATAAGGGTAATCCTTGGTTAAGTATTAAGGGTAGGCACAATAAGCTTAGGCCTCAGTGTACACCTTTTTTTGGGTCAGAGTTTGATTTTGTTTGTTTTTGATGGCAGATACACAAATTAATGTCTACGTAATTTACGTAATGTAACGTACACTCACAATCAAAAAAGTGGTAGAAATAGATTTGCTGCACATCCCCCATTCTTCTTTCGACTTTAATTAGCACCCTCATTAGGCTGGTAGAGAGCAAGAGAGGAACAAGGAACAAGGAACCCCATCACTCTCTAAATGTCTGCCTCCTTTTTCTCTTCCTCTCTTGCTTTATCGTCTTCTTCTTCCCATTGGTTCCCTTCTCTTCTTCCTTATCCGTCCACTGCTTATTTCACATCTTTTTATTTCTTGTATTTTTATGACGCTGCTGATCCTTTATTTTAGACAGAAATATATGGGCCCTCCCCGTATGTGTAGACAGCAATGATAGACACCCTAATCACAGAAACAGTGATGAAGGTAGTAGTGATGGTAATTTTTCAGATAGGTAGTCTGAAGCTGCTCCTTCAACTGCAATTACCTTAAAGATGAACATTGTCTTCTTTCAGATTTTATCCTCCACATCTCAGCTCACCCTGCCCTCCTCATCTGCATTTTAACCCCTTAAGGTGTAGCTGTTTTACTATTCATGTTGCTCTCTCTCAGCGCTCTTCCTCCCCTCTACCGACACACCTCCTCCTTTTCTTTTCTCTGTGCTCTAAAAGCTAGCACTGAACAAGGAACTATTGAGAGCTAATTTGAACTTATTTGACTGATTTGTTTCAGCAGAGATTTCCTGTGGGTTTTTGGTGTTGAGTAGTCATTAATTATCTGTGCTTCAGCTGCCATGCTAAATCAGTCTGGTCTTCTTAGCGACAGCAATAACCAAGGTTTTTTGTAGAAATTACTCTCATATACTCATATATCTGAATCAACTAACATTCGCCTCCTTGCTCTCTCCAGTGCCCAGTGAGCCTCCGCAGAATGTGCGAGCCATCTCTGTGACGTCGGACGAGGCGGTGATCACATGGGCAGAGCCTCCACGGCTGACACTGCACGGTGTGCTGAAAGGCTACCGAGTTGTGTTTTGGTCCCTCTTCCCTGACGGAGGTGGGTGCTGTGGGGGCCAGGCCCAGTGGCCAATGCAGAGTAATTATCACCTATCTCATTCTAAACTTCAACAACTATCACCCACCCACCCACTCACCCACCTCTCTGTCAGTGTTGTTAGTCAGAATGTGTTAATGTGTGTCCGCACCTTTCTCATAAAGCACTTCCTGTTCCTGTATATTCTTTGAATTTGTCCGTGTTTGCCCTTGTTTCTTTGTGTCTTAGATTTTTAACACCACCAATATTGATAGATGAGATTACAGTACAGTGGGAGTAGAGTGTGTTTGTGCTCCTGTGTTTGTTCAATCCTGTTTCCTAAAATATTCAGTTTATATTCAACTAATTTGCATCTGCAAATATGTTTTGTGGGAAATGACGTCCAGACAATGGCAACAAAAGCACAATTAACATTTTATTGGGTACGTTTAGGCTGCCACGTTTTCTAAAGCACTCTGTTAAGGTTAGGGAAAGACTGTGAAGCAAGACAGGACTTCTTTCAATATGATGGTCTCTGCTTTAACGTTTTGTGCTTTGTATAGGCAGCCATTCACTCTAACGTCCTCCTTACGACTGCTGCCTTGTCCAGGCACATTTCTTCCAAAACATATTTAGCAAAGCAAATTAATAGTATATAAATGTATTTGGTAGAAGACAGAGTTGGTCTGTGTTGCTTGTCCACCAGATAACCAACAGTACTCTCTAAAACAGCATTTCCCTCGTGTTCTCAGAATGGGGAGAGATGCAGAATATCACCACCACACGTGAACAGGTGGAGCTGCGAGGGCTGGAGAAGTTCACTAACTACAGTGTTCAGGTGCTGGCCTACACCCAAGCTGGAGACGGGGTGCGCAGCAACGTCCTGTATATCCAAACCCGCGAGGACCGTGAGTATAAACACGAACAGACACTCAAAAAAAAAAAAAAAGTTAATACATTTTAGGAAAATTCAAATAAAGGAAAGCATGAACTACACTTGCACAATGTACAGGGTCAGGGTAAAGGGATAGGAGAGGGATATATTAAAAAGAGTGTTCGGCTTTATCTCAAACCATGACAAAAGCTCATTTATGCTGGGAAGCTCCATTAGCACTGCTAATGAGAATTAAGAGGCTTTGGGTCCACGGTTCAGAGCTGAGGGAGGGCTGACGGGAGACACTGGGTGGAGAGGAGGCGTGCTCTCTCAGAGAGTATAGCATCCAGGAGTCAGCCATCAGCCTGCATCTTCTCCACCAGCCCACTTGCCACAGGCATAGAGATTAACTCCATTTGGATTAGAGAGACTTAATTTTGTGCTTACACCATTGGAGGCGGGATTACAGCCAGATCCATGTCTCTTTATAGAGGAGGGTGAAGAGGAGGGGCCTGGGGGTTAAAGATGGAAAGATACAAGGTGATCACACAGCCTATTCTTGGCCAATGAAGCAAATAAGGCACCCAGAAAAGACATGTCATAACCAAGATTTTTTTCTCAGCCAATTTACTGCTAGACTTCATTCTTTGTGTTTTTGGAGTGTATTATGCACAATATATCCTCCTCTGATTGGTGCAGTAGTGCATGATATATTCATGTAGGTGGGGATGTTCACTCAGTCAGCACCATTGTCCCTCTCTTCCTCATCATCACACGAGCTGTACTGTCTGTTCAGCAGACTCTGTGTCTGTCTGTCTCCAGTCCTGGGCAGATTTTGGGCACCAGATGGGACTTAACGCTCCCCCCTCCCACTGCCACTCCTACTTTGACATGAAGGTCCAGTTATGATAATGATGACTGCCTCAACTGCCCCTCCCTAACACCACCATCACTCCCCCAAGCAGTGCACGTTTCATTCTTGCCATTCTTTCATCCCCGTCTCCCCCTTTTTCAAAACCTCTTTTTTGAGTGAGGTTTTCATCCTGTTTATGTAATGCGCAGGATGAAGGAGTCTGAGGGTATGGGCTGGTTGAATGACTGAATCGGAGGGGGCTCACATTACAAAAACAAAAAAGAAGAATTGGGGGTTGGATTTAGAGAGCTGGGTCTTACACTGCGGTAGCCCCTTTTTGTAGACCCCAGATGAGGCCCACTGTCAAGTGCAAGTTAAATTTATGGTGGGGATTGAATAGGCTTGACAGTGTGAACCCCATACTGTAAAGCCAATGTGACAAAAGCATTATTCTTTGCCTTTCTCAGTGTCCAGTGTCCTGGTGTGTTTTTTGTAAAGTGCGCATCCATTTTAAACCCTTCTTACGCCTTTAGATGGTAATGACAGCATTAAGTGGTGTCCTGTGTGAAGCTGAAGTGGCTTGCAGAGGATCAGACACTAGTGTCTAATCTGTTTGTGGGTTTGAGGGTTAGGAGAATGCTGGGTGTCACAGAGTCAGAACTGCTGACCAATGTCTGACTGAACATATGTCACCACTGTCCACCCAAAGGGAGTTCTTTCAAGTCCTCCCAGAGCAGCTTAGTGAAGGATAAAACTAGCAATCTGCAAACAAGCCTGCTCACTTTAATAGGCATCCAAAACCCAGCATGCGCATGCACAAACACTAAAATACACATGGAAGCACACACGTGCCCACTTGCTGATGTTCTTATGTTTTTCCTATAGTTCCTGGTCCACCGGCTGGCATCAAGGCAGTTCCCTCCTCTCCAAGTAGTGTGGTTGTGTCCTGGTTGCCTCCTCATAAACCAAATGGTGTTATCCGCAAGTACACCATCTACTGCTCCAGTCCAGGGTCTGGGCAGCCGGTAAGTGAACCTCTGTGGGTGTGACTCATAAGCGGCCAGTAGGAAACGTTCCAGGTGATTGAGAAGCAAGGAATTTGTGAACTTAATGAAAATGAAATAATTAATTAGTAACCAGTATTATTAATTGAACCTGTATGTGTGTGTGTGTGTGCGTGTGTGTTTCTTTGCACGTCTCTCTTTCACTGCATTTGCACCATCGCTTTATTTCCTGCCCTCCCAGATGAACAGATGAGGTTGTCTTGGCAACATGATGAGACGTAGATATGCAAATGAAGCTGAACAAGCTCACACATGCACACTGCCGCATAGGAAACACACACACAAACACACACACACACACACACACACAGACATAACATTTCAACATTTTCTATTTATACATGTGGGGCATTTTGGTTGTGGTTAGATTATGTGCACACAAACACCAGCACACATTGAAGTCTGATATCGGGCTAGAATCTCACTTTTTTATTATTCACAAATTCTCCTCCCTCTCTGTGCATGAGCGCCATGTAAATGAGCACGGACAGGGAGGAGAGAGGGAGGAAGGAAGGGAGGGGGAAAGGAGGTTGAGTGGGAGAAAGAGGAACACCATTAGAGGGAGGGAGAGACCGAGGGGGAAATGAGAGAAAAAAGAGAGAGATGAGGGGAGAGGGGGAAGAGTGAGAGACAGGCTGGGAAGAAGGGAGGAGCAGAAGAGGGTATCAGTCACATCAAGATGAGAGTGCTTTTGTCCGTCTTTTCATTATCTCCCTGTATCACTCCCTGGATCACCACAACACCACCGCTATGCTGGAGGAATTTTCGAACGCACCCCCTACACACAGACACACAGACACACACACACAGACACACACACACACATCTCCCCCCCTCTGTCCCTCCATCCTCTCCTCTTCAATGAGCTAGACAGAGAGGGATGGAGGAAAAGAGGGAAAAGAAAATGGTGAAGGAACTGAAAATGAGCAGATTAAAGAGATAGAACAGAAGATCGACTTGACAAGAAAACAGTGTTTCTGTGCGCGCGTTGGCGTGTGTGTGTGTGTGTGTGTGCCGACAGGTGTATGTGTGACTATCCTCTCAAAGATGTGTTAGTGGGAAAAATATCCACAGGAACACCTTGTTTAATCCAACATTGAGGCCTAAAATGTGATTTTTCTTAAAATAGATCTATACAAATTTCTTATTTCATGTATTTCTTACAGTGTTTTTCAAATGTTTAATCGCTTAATATTTAACTGTAACCACTCTGAAACACGATTTTCAAAACATTAAATGCAATTGCCCCATTCGTTCAACATCATCAAAGGTAAATAAATTGATCAACAAGCGAATCACTGCCAAAAGATGACATTTCCCTGTATCATTGTTTCAGTCAAGACAGAAATTCACAGTGCAACCTACAAGAACATAGAGGTGGAGTCCATGGAGAGGTCATTCACAGCAGAGAAAAGCCTCCAATATCTACATGTCCCTGCTCCAAGAAATAGAGCAAATACAAACGAGAGAAACACTGAGTGTATATAAAAAAGTAGAAAAACACATGATCGCTTAAATTCAAATGAAGCAATAAGACAAAGAATATGAATACATATCAGTTACCCATACAATGTTTAAGGTCTGTAAAACACAGCAATATTTATTCTAAAAAGACTTTAATGTGTAAAAAAATAAATGTACAATATCACTGCTCACAAGGCAAAAATTACAAAATCAAAAAGCATTTTGGAACATACGGTATATATAAATAGAAAACGAGTCTACATGAAAATACAATAATGGATCCCTGTCAGTATAACATACAGGAATCTTTTCTTTCTATTTCTATGTTCATGTTAATTGCCCTGTTAAACACCTGTCCTACACACTCGTAACTCTGATCATTGCTGGCTTTTATCCTGAAATGGGCAAGCTGTGCTGATATGGTGATCTATGGAATTTAAAATAAATTAAGTTAGGAGTTAAGAGTGTCGTGTGTGTGTGTGTGGCTTTCACCTTCTTTCACTGACGTCTACCTCTAAGCAAATGCCTCACTAGAATAGATTTGTGTTTTCTTTCAGTTCTTATTCACAGAAGACGTTTTGACATATCAAAGTAGGAAAAGCAAATAAAGTAAATAACTGAAATGATGATGGCTGAATTCCATTTAGCTTCTTCAGTTTCAGGCTCCTGGTATTGTGCATGCTTGCTTACTGTCACACACTGTCACACTATTTGCTACTATGACAAGTTAAAATATCTGCTGAGAAAAACACTCTTTCTTTCCAAGACTTGTTTGTCTTTGCTGTTTTTCTGTACACATTTAAATATGTACAACCTGTAACACTTCTTTAGACTGGTAGAGTTTCTAGTACAAGAGCTGCCTCCAAGCCTGTCGTATCACTGTGCCATCAAAGTTTGCTAACATGACATTGTGTTCCCTCTGTCCCAGGCACCCAGTGAGTACGAGGCCAACCCAGAGATGCTCTTCTACCGTATCACGCACCTTTCCCGTGGAAAACAATACCACATCTGGGCTGCAGCTGTGACAACTGCGGGCCGAGGCAACATGAGCTCAAAGGTCATAGTGGAGCCTGCTGGGAAAGGTAGGTCCTCCAGGCGAGCCTGTAGTGGAGGAGAAGAGTAAAGAGAGTCCTTTAAAGGTTATGAGGGAGACCGCTCTGAAGATGTTTATGAAACGACAACATGATCTCCTTTACACAGATCACTTTCATCACTCTCTCTCCTTTCTCTCTCTGTTTGCTCTCTCTGTTATTGATTGACAGCCGTAGTATTGATTGAGTAGCGGCTGTGTTGCAAGATATGCTGTTGTTAATTATGTGGTGATGAACAGGGCCTTTCCAGTAAAATGACCCTTGGGGAGAGAGGTAGCGGGCAAGAATCAATAGAGGGGAGGATCTATGGAGAAAACATAGACTGAAACTAAGAGGTTAGAGGAGGAGCTACACTTAAACACTACGCTACAGCTTTTTATTCCCTCAGCTGTGAGTAAAAGCCTTTGCCCTTCGGCAAACTGGGCCACTTATTCAACAAACAGCAGAGACAGGCAGATAGATATCTGAAAGTATGAAAAAAAGGCATCTTTGTGAGAGAGATGCCGAAGCAGTTTTTGTTTCGTTTTGGTGTTATCTGTCATTAACTGTGTGATTGGAGTGTGTGTCAACGATTCAATTCAGTCACTTTATTTTGTTGTCTTGTCTGTAGTCCCGGCTAAGATCCTGTCCTTTGGGGGCACGGTGACCACACCCTGGATGAAGGAAGTGCGTCTGCCCTGCAGCTCAGTGGGAGAACCCGCCCCCACAATTAAATGGACCAAAGACAGGTTAGAGCTTCTTCTTATACCACTTATATGTCAGCGTCATGACTCACTCAGACAGATTTTGCTGCTTGTGAGAGGAAACAACATCTCTGGGTTGAGTTTAACATCTGTAACCTGTCTGTACTTTGTCAGCGAGGACTCTGCCATTCCCGTGACAGCAGACAGTCAGCGGCAGATCTTATCCAATGGCACACTGGTGCTACGTTCAGTCAAAGCAGAGGACTCTGGGTACTACACCTGTACGGCCACTAACACTCTGGGCTTTGACACCATCATAGTCAATCTGGTGGTGCAAGGTAAGAAGAAACAGAAGACGCACTTGAGTTGCAGCCGACCAGTTTACAAAGTGTTCTGATGTTTCTGCTCTGTTGTTGAGTCAGTGTCTCTGTGTGTACATCCAGTTCCTCCTGATCAGCCTCGTCTGACCGTCTCCACTACCTCCACCTCCTCCATCACTCTGGCTTGGATCCCTGGGGACAATGGGGGAAGCTCCATCAGAGGTATGCTCCTGACGAGACTTTCATGTGAACACAGTAACACCTGCCCACCTTGCATCTGTCTCATCAAAAAATATCCATGACCTTATAACTAAATTTTGTGACAGATCATTTTCAGTGTGCTTCATCCATAATGCTGCACATTACAGTGTAAACAATGTTTCTGGGTAAGAAGTAGTCAAACTAGAACTGATTGTAGCTGTGTGTTGCCCCCTGGTGTACAACAGATGTAACCACAGCAGCAGCAGCAGCAGCAAGGATCCTCAGCACTCTTTAATGCACTGGATTTACAGTTGTGGCTCCAAAGTTGTGTTTTTGACATAAAGTTGTGCTGTGTCATTCTGCAGGATTTGTGCTGCAGTATTCGGTGGACAACACAGAGGAATGGAGGGACGTGTTCATCAGCTCCAGTGAACGTTCCTTCAGGTTGGACAATCTGCGCTGTGGGACCTGGTACAAGGTCAAGTTGGCCGCCAAGAACAGTGTGGGCTCAGGGCGCATCAGTGAGATCATAGAGGCTAAGACCCATGGAAGAGGTGAGGGATGGCAAACATGTCGTAGACTAACTCTCAAACCAGTATAACATTGTATTCTCTTTAATTTATCATTTCAAATGTGTCAGGAATTAATCTAAAATTTAGGTTAGAAACTTTCTTCATTGAGCTTAAAAGATGTCACATCTGGCTTTAGTTTGCTTTTCCATCTTGCTGTGTTTTCAAGGCAATGTGAAAACTGCCTACCGCCCACGTCAGACCATAGACATTGAAAACATGTATGATTGTACCGAACCTTCTGTAAAGAAATATCTTTTATGTGGAGGTAATCTGGTCATTTAACGTTATCCTAATTAAAGTCAAACATTTTGTAAATACAGAATAACACACAATGGCTCCAGAGTGTTGCTGTGACATAAAATGAGATAAAACGTTAAACATGTAGGTGGATATATTCAGAATCATAAATACAACAAGCTGAGACACTCTTTACATCAGGGAAAACAAACCATGGATTAAAACCTAATGTGAAATATTGTTTATAATGACAGTATTCCCTGATGTTAAGTCATTAATAGATCACAAATAAATGTAGACTTACGATATTGCTTTGTTGGCATTACCATCCTCTTTCCAACCTCCTGTTGCTCTGTGTCTTCTCTTCAGAACCAGTGTTCAACAAGGATCAGCCGCTGCTCACTCACATCAACTCCACTCATGCAGGGCTTAACCTGCAGGGCTGGACCAGCGGCGGCTGCCCCATCACTGACCTGATGCTGGACTTTAGGCCCAAAGGAACCTGGGCCTGGCAGAGCCTAAAGGCCAACTCTACCACTCAGCTTTTCCTCAGTGAGCTGCGCGAGGCCACCTGGTATGAGCTCAAAATGAAGGCCTGCAACAGTGCTGGGTGTGGCAACCAGAGCTCCCAGTTTGCCACCACTGACTATGATGGCAGTAAGTGTATCCTATATGTTTTTCTGTCCGTCATCTGCACCTCTCGCGCTGAATTTTCTGTATGAAATATGTTCTTCCTTCCATCTCCTCTCCACAGGTACAATCCCTCCCATTAAATCAGCTCGTGGAGAAGGGGATGACGTGAAGAAGCTGTTCTCCATCGGCTCTCCCGTCATACTGGTTACCCTGGGCGTTGCTTTGCTCTTCATTGTCCGCAAGAAACGCAAGGAGAAGAGGCTTAAACGACTTAGAGGTGAGAGGAACAAGAGAGCTCAGAGAGAGAGAGATCATTGTGTGTAATGGATTCATGTAACATAGAGTGACAAGCTGAAACGATTATCTTCATAGCCAACTCTAATTAAGATGTTATCTTGTTATAGATGCTAAGAGCCTCGCTGAGATGCTTATCAGGTAAGAACCAGCTTTTATGGACATAGTTTTAAGTTTTTATGTCTGCTGTTTAGATGAAGTAACATTTCACGTAGGTCAACTGCATAAATATTTGTAAAACCTCATAAGAGACACCAGTCTGACTATTTGTGTGATTTCCATGTGTGTGTGCAGCAAGAACAATCGCAGTATAGACACTCCAGTTAAGGGCCCTCCTCAAGGACCAAGGCTGCACATTGATATCCCACGTGTTCAGCTGCTCATTGAGGACAAGGAAGGCATCAAACAGATAGGCATGTGGCCACACTCAACAACAACAGAATCAATCATTTTGCATGGTCATTTTCTAGCAGCTTATATTACATCATTAACGAGTTTTGAATAATTGTTCCTCATCTCTTGCCTTCAACAGGGGAGGATAAGGCAGCGGTGCCAGTGACAGACACTGAGTTCAGCCAATCAGTGAATCCGCAGAACTTCTGCACAGGCGTGTCTCTGCACCACCAAGCCCTTATCCAGAATTCAGGGCCTTTGATTGACATGTCGGATATCCGCCCCGGCACGAGTGAGTTTGTGTTTCTTTTCAAATAAAGATTTTTGCAGTCAATTTCACAGTTCAGTGACTACTACTGTGGTGACAAAATGTGAAATGAATTGAGCTGGTAAATTCATGTGAAAGCTTTGATCTGTTATTGAATTACATCCAATTCAGTCGAGACGATGATGAGAGTATAAAGACAGCCTGTAGTCGTCTTGACAATCAATACATGGATATACTGTCTTTGTATTGCCAAGCTGGTCTCTGAGCACTGTGACCTCTTTCAGACCCCGTGTCCAGGAAAAGTATAAAATCAGCCCACAGCTCCAGGAACAGATACTCCAGCCAGTGGACACTGAGCAGACCGAGCCAGAGCCAGTCGACGGCCTCTGCACGCACTCTGACCTCAGACTGGCGGACGATGGGCTCTCATGGCATCACCGCCACTGAGAGTGACAGCTACAGCGCCAGCCTCTCGCAAGACACGGGTGGGTCAATCCCAGCGAGTACCGCTGACACAATGACACTGCTACTCTTATGTACTACTAATGCTTTTATGTCATTGCCATTTTTTATGCCAAGAAGCATTTCTTTAATGAAAATAATGACAAGTCTTTACTTTTTTTCATCAAATTAAAGACCAGTCTAGAGACATATGAACAGTATGTATACCACAACATGCATCCTCAAATTGTAGAATAGAGAAAATATATTCCATCTTTACGTCTACGTCTTCACCATTTCTGTACAAGTACACAAATTAGCAAAAAAATCACCATAATTCAGAAACCTTATTTACCTCCCAACTAACAGCTTTCTCTAAAACAATATACATTTTTAGTGACACCAAAGGTGCATGGTTTTTTTTGGACACAGCACTGAAAAACTGATTCTGAAAAAGCATCAACTAAGGAAATTATTTCTTATTTGTTTTTCCAGACAAGGGTCGCAACAGCATGGTGTCGACAGAGAGCGCCTCCTCCACTTACGAGGAGCTGGCCAGGGCCTACGAGCACGCCAAGCTGGAGGAGCACCTGCAGCATGCAAAGTTCACCATTACAGAGTGTTTCATCTCTGACAGCTCATCTGACCAAATGACCACAGGTACCAATGATCCAGCTGACAGCATGACCTCCCTAAGCACGCCGTCTGAACCAGGCATCTGCCGCTTCACTGCCTCACCACCCAAACCACAGGACTATGACCGCGGTAAAAATGTAGCGGTGCCCATTCCCCACCGTGCCAACAAAAGTAAGTATGAAAAGATGAGAGCCATGCAGAGTCAACGAATGCATAAATACTTGCTATGTCGTGATTTAGAATAATTTTATAAATAAAACTTTTGTAATACATTTCACACTGTACTCATTTAGAGTACTACATATTGGTACAGTTAAGACACTCAATACAGGCCGGAGATGTTTTAGTTGTAACCCAGCGATACCCTGACACACAAGACTGAAGTAAAGTAAAGCTAGAGACTACATAACCAAAGAAGGTGTTTTTTTATTTTTATAGTAAATTAAAATGGGATTTGACAAGAGGGCACCAAAATGGCACAGCAGCAGTGCTGGAATAGAAGTAAAAGAACTTTCTCTAAATAAACAGACATACTTAGTTGGGATAAACTGGACTCTGTGGGTGTCGAGATGCATCAAAGAAAAGTGTTCATTAGATACTGATTCAAAAGATAAATAGGTATATCCCATTTAGATTCCGGGGAATGACACTGTCTCTATGAATGATCCACACTGAATCAAAAATATTTCATACCACTCAATAATTACCTGCAGACAGTTGCCTAGGATGACAAAAGATACACAAGTAAGCAAGGAGTCATGTTTCTTGGCCGACGTATCTAAGCAATCACTGCAAGGCTTTCTGGCCTCAATCAAAGTCATGTGTTATAATGTAGGAAGAAAATATGTATATATGTATCTGGAAGTAATTCATTTAAGCAGTTGAAATGACACAAAAGCCTTTTAAAATTAAAAATGTCCTCATTATATGGTCTGATCCTGACTCTTATCATGCCTCTCTCAGGTGAATTCTGCAACCTACCCCTCTACATGAAGACAGACCCATTCTTCCGCAAGCAAGGGGAGCTGCATGACCCTTGCCCAGCTGTGCCACCGCGGGAAGCCTCAATCCGCAGCCTGACGCAGCGGGCGTATCACACCCAGGGCCGTCACAAGACTCTAGACCCTGCCAAACAGCAGGCGCTGACACTGGGCCATTCTGGCCTGGGCAGCTTGGGTGCGAGCTTGGGCACTGCCACCTTGCCCCAAAGGACTCTCACCATGCCCAGCTCCAACACTGCAGCAACAGCTTCCACTTCCAGCACGAGCAGCAACCCCACCAACAGTAACAAGGTGGGGGGCTCTAGAGACTCGCTGCTAGAGAGCAGCTCCTCTGCACTGGGGAGATTGCAGAAACAGAGTGTTGGGGCATACTCCAAGTCATACACGTTGGTGTAGTCCACTCTCTTGCACAGACATGCATTGCTGTCCCACTCCTCTGCCAGCCCCACTCTGGCATTCTTCAGCCTGGGCGAGAATGGGTATGCAACCATCTTTCTTTAAACCCGACTAATGGTGAACTGCCCAGCGGTCGGTCTAATTTTCCTCGGGATAGGGGTTCTCCCAGACAGAGACCCAGCTAACCCTACTTTTCATGTTCACCTGGGACTCTACAAGAATTACTAACTCCAACTAACAGTTCCAGCCGGCTGGTGCTCAGCTCCACTCAATTCTCGCAGGAGTTGCGCAGCAAAAAAACAGGAAGCGATTCTGTGGTCATCTGGAAATAGTGACTATAATTGAGGAGTTAAAAGCTCTGTGTTTATGATGATGAAGACTACGATAGCCAGTATGAAGCTGTGTGGCCATCCTGTCTCTCATATGCACACACACATACTGTCCTCCATAGTTTGAGTATTATTGTGAATTTGCAGGACTTCCAGTTAAGTTCCCCTAGTCTTACTGTATCTTTCACCTTATATGTGTCTCTTAAGTCCCAAATAGCTATTGGCAGATTTTCTCTAAATGGTGATTCCAAAAGAAATTATTCAGGTTCACTTCCAAGAAGGATAACATTACTATCACATTAATCTTCTCCACACATCTCTCTCCAGCTAAACAGTGTCTAACTTTTTAATCAAATCATGACAACCCAAATGAACCAGCTATAATTTCTCACATTACAAATAGAGAATATTTGGTATTATAAAGAATTTACATATATATTTCTATGTAGGTATATTATTGACATTTTAGTGAAATTATGACAAAGTATAAATTGTATATACTACAATAGTGTAGTAGTATATACAGCAATTTAATGTTAATGTCAAATTTAAGAACGAGACAATCGCTCAATCATGAAATTTTAAAAATAGAAATTTAAAAAAGGTTGGACTAAAGAAAGAAAAAGTTTAGTATATATACGGGATATTCTGTATGTTTCTGTATGTAGACCGACTAAGAGAAGAGTGTTTCACTCCTGTATGGACCGAGAGTGGCCCTTTCCAAGATCCATGTTGAGATGGGAAAAGCAAGATAGGCTACTTAGTTTTAGATCAGATCCTGAGAAGGAAAGCTCACTGGGTGAACAGATAATAACCTCCCTGGTTTGCTTTGCTGAGTGTGTTCGGTGGAAACAAGCATGGCAGAAAGCTTTCTGTATGTTAGTCTGCTCATGAGGATGTAGGCTTTGTGTCTCTAACAAGCTTGTCGTGAGCCTGAGCGGCTGGTAAATACAACTATAAGGATCCACAAATACGTTTTACTTTGGGAGGAGAACTGCAGACTTGAGATATGACACAGAATTAAGGCTTCTGTACAGTAACACATCCTACCAACCTCTCAGCCAGCCTTTGTGTCACTCCGCCGACCTTTGCTCTTCAAAAAAATAGATAACTAGCTGATGGAATCCCAGTCATGATGTGAATGAAGTAAAATTATATAATGTTGAGCGATGTTATATGTCAGGGAGTTCAGTTTTGAAAATTATATAATGTTCACTCAATTGATATCTTTGTTGTTGCCCTGTCTGAAGTACTGTATATGTTCCACTTTCTTTATCCCACCCCCCTCATTTGTTCTAATGTTCATTCACACCAGAACCTACTGGAATGACTTTTTGAAGCATCTCCATGATAGTGTTTTGTGGTTTATATTTATTTATCCATCTTCTTTGTTCATTTGTTTGTTTGTTTGGGGAAGGGGGTATCTGTTGACTTTGATTTATAATATTCATTTTAATTTGTTTGGGGTTTTGTCAAGATTTTGGTTCCAGGGGCCAAACTGTACTAAAGTATGTGGCCTGTGTCTAAAACCAGTTCAGCCAAGTGAAATCAGGGACTCGTAGCTCTTTTGGTCACACAAACTACTGTTGTGTATATAGTGGACGGGAGTCGGTCTGTAAACCTGAAGCATTCGGACTCCCATCCTTTCCCCCTGTTCAGATAAATTAAAGTAAAAAGTCACCACCCTAAACATTCTAAATCCATCATCCCCACCTTTATCAGTGTTGTTTATAGATTAAGTCTTGTACATAAAACACAGTTTTGTATGAAGAGCTATTTTCGTCAGAATAAATCAGGGGACACATCAGGGTTGAATGCCCCAATTTCAAAATTGAAATAGTATCAAAAATAAAATATTTTACTTCTGAAATGGGCAAAAAAAAAACATGTTTCTTTCCCTTTATGTTTTTGATACTAATTTGTTGAATTTTTATTCTTTTTTAAAGGTCGTTTGATGTTGTCATTTGTCCTATTTACTTTTTTATTATCATTATTTTGTATTTTGTTCATCCTCAAAAAATCATTGCATGCTTGCTAAAAGGGAAAAATTGAAGGAAAAAATGTATGAAAATCAAAAACAAACAAAAAAAACAAAAAAAAACTAAAAATGTTGAGGGTATCCCAAACATTTGTTTGAGTTGCTTGTTATGGCAATTGCTTGTGTTCAAAAGTACATTTTCTATGAAAAGAAAGCAAAAACTAAAAAGTTCATTCTAACACCTTGTGCAATAAAGCTATCTTTCATACGTCACGGTTTCTGTCATTCTCAAGAGGTTTGTTTGCATATCATCTGGAAATGTTTGAATTGACATACACATTGAATTAACAGATAAACAGCCAGCATGAAACACATCACTGGACCAATCTGTCATGGCTTGACAAAAAAAGTCTAAATGTAAAAATGCAGTATAAAAATACAAAGAAAGTATTTGGAGTTTGTTATTCAGTTTGTACTATTGTAATAAAATATACTTAGAATGAAAATACAAATATTTATCCAGTATGAAATTGGCCAAACCACTGTGAAAATGAGAATCTAATGAAAGAATATACTATGTGAATTTAACAATGTATAGGTGAGTGAAAGGGAAAGTCCAGTGATTTAGTTTTCTACTTTCATAAAGTTTGAGGGCCTATGAGAGAAAAGAGAATGGTCGAAATTAAAGCAGCAGAGACAGATATCCTGACGTGCAGTCTCTAATCAAACCTCCAAAACACTGGATCCAGTTTGTAATACAGACTTTGTTATTAATTGGAAGCCAAAACTACAAAATCTTCAGGGTTATTTTCTCAGACTTGACAAAATTCCTCCAGAGCCACAGAAGTCATGATAACATGTTTTCTGGGGCAGCAACTGCAGAATACTTCTCATGACATGTAAATGAACTTAATGTGTAAAATTGGTGGATTGCCCCTTTAAAAGTAGAGTAAATATGTCTAAAAATGGCCATACACACTGTATATACAGAACAATGTGTATTTATTGTGTTTAAGATCATAATGTGTAAAAGTCAGAAAAGGTTCATGCTTTAGATTACAGTGTATAGCATTCCCGATACACAGTATAATTAGGTGTACCAGTGGAGTGCGTACCAGTACATACACATAGGTACAAAGGGACAATATGTGAAGCAATCTGAGAACTTTGGAGAATGTATACTGGTATTTTTAATAAACAGGACCTATTCTATTATAACATAGCACAGTATGACCTACTGAGCAACATAGATAGACGTTTTGGGGGAAGAAGATGAAGAAGGCATACTTTATTAATTTTAAAAGGGGATATTCAATGTGTTTTTACTTTGTTGTATTACTATACACACACACACAGTTCTGAAATACACACACATGCACAAACAAGACCTGTACACATGTAATAAGACATGAAGAGATGTTTGGAGTTCAGGGTTTTGTTCAAGGGCACCTTCAGCAGTGCCCAGCAGGTGAATTGGCACCGGTCCACACGTATATCTGGTCCAAGATCGGGTAATTGAAGATGGGAAAAGGAGTTCTGTAGCACTTTATATACAATCCCCTACAAAAGTATTGGAACGGTAAGGCAAATTCCTTTGTTTTTGTTGTTCACTGAAGACATTTGGGTTTAAGATCAAAAGATGAGTATGAGACAAGAGTTCAGAATTTCAGCTTTTATTTCCTGGTATTCACATCTAGATGTGTTAAACAACTCAGGACATACCACCCTTTGTATTAGACCACAGCATTCTTAGGTGAGAAAAAGTAATGGAACAACTAATCTTAAAGTAAATAACATTTAATATTTGGTGGCATAACCCTTGGTTTCAGTAACTGCCTCAAGCCTGCGACCCATCGACATCACCAAACTGTTGAATTCTTCATTTGTGATGCTATTGCTATTAAAAAGCATTTCCCCTGGATGAAAGAAGCCATACAATCAATGAAGAGAAACTGTCGCAAGGTGGAACGTCTATGGAAAACATCGAAACTTGAGGTCCATAGACTACACCTCAGGGACCAAATCGCTTCACTAAATGAGTTGCTGAAGAACACAAAAACCCAGTACTTCTCCCACCTAATAGCGACAAATAAGAAAACCCCCAAAATATTGTTTGACACCATTCACGCTGTTGTTTCCCCATCTATCCCTGAAGCTGCTGTATTTTGTAAAACTGACAGTAATGAGTTTCTGAATTTCTTTGTAAATAGGATTGCAGATATCAGGGCAAATGTCTCCCAAACTCTTTCCAATCCTGCTCTCAGTGACCCACCCCCCTCTTATTCATGGTGCTCTTTTAACCCAGTGTCACTGCATGACATCAAATGCGTGCTGGAAAAACTGAAACCTTCCTCCTGTTCTTTGGATGTCCTCCCTAAAAGCTTTTGATTCAATTGGCCCTAGCATTGTGAACATGCTTAACATCTCACTTCAAACTGGCATGGTCCCTATTTCCTTTAAGCATGCAATCATTGAACCAGTACTTAAAAATCTAACCTGGACCCATCAGACCCTAAGAACTATAGGCCCATTTCTAAACTCTCGTTCGTGTCACAAATTCTTGAAAAAATAGTAGCATTCCAACTGACTACCTTCCTTGAGACCCATGAATTGTTTGACAAATTTCAGTCTGGGTTCCACAAAAAACACTCTACCGAAACCTCTTTACTTAAAATCTCCAGCGATATTATGATGGCCACTGATTCTGGAAAATGCATAGTCTTGGTCCTATTAGACCTTTCCTCAGCTTTTGATACTATCGATCACAATATCATGCTAAAAAGACTTCACGAGCTGGCAGGCATGTCTGGAACTGTCTTAAAATGGTTTTCATCTTATCTGTCTGGCAGAAGTTTTAGTGTTCTTGCAAACAGGTTCATGTTGGATAAAGCAGTGTTGTCATATGGGGTACCCCAAGGGTATTATTTCTCCTGTACATTCTCCCTCTTGGACAAATTATAAATTATTTATCTTACCACCTTTATGCGGATGATATTCAGTTGTACTGCTCATTTAAGGCCACAGATCTCCATAAATTATCCGCCCTAGCAAACTGTTTGAGCAAGATCAGGCACTGGCTGAATGAGAATGCTTTGCAACTGAACACAGATAAGACAGAGACATTAATTATTGCTCCTGATAGCATTACCCCTTTGATCAAGCAGTATTTGGGTGACCTGGGCTCGTCTGTGAAACCGAGCCTTAGGAACCTAGGTGTTGTCTTTGATTCAGCAATGTCCCTAGCGCATCACTCCAACCAACTAATTAAAAACTGCTTCTTCCAACTACGGAACATATCCAAACTAAGATCGCTGGTGTCAAAGATAGAATTAAAGATGATTATTCATGCCTACATATCCTCCCGTTTAGATTATTGTAATAGTCTTTTTACATGCTTGAGTAATAAAGAACTCACTCGCTGCCAGTTCATTTTAGAATTCATTTTAAAATCTTGGTCCTTACTTTTAGAGCGTTACATGGTCAAACTCCCTCTTACATCTCCGACTTGTTACAGCAACATACTCCCTGTAACCTAAGGTCATTAGGTCAGAGGCTGTTAGTAGTTCCCCATACTCACTTTAAGACCAGAGGAGACCAGTCTTTTCAAGCAGCTGCACCCAGGTTGTGGAATGCACTCCCAAGTTCGTTACGCACCTTAAACTGTGTTGTTTCTTTTAAAAAGCAGCTGAAGACTCTGTTATTCAAACAGGCGTTTGCTAAACATTAAGCTTGGTTTTAAAGTTGTCTGTCATATGTCAATGTGTTTCCGGTGTTTAGTTAGAACTGTATTTTGTTGTTTTATTGTGAAGCACCTTGTGATTTTATCTGTGAAAAGTGCTATATAAATAAATTTTACTTACTTACTTATTCCAGGCTTTTACCGCAGCTTCTTTCAGTTCTTGTTTGTTTCGGGGTGTTTCTCCCTTCAGTCTCCTCTTAAGGAGATGAAATGCAGCTCTATTGGGTTAAGGTCAGGTGATTGACTTGGCCAGTCTAAAACCTTCCACTTTTTCCCCCCGATGAAGTCCTTTGTTTTGCTGGCAGTGTGCTTTGGGTCATTGTCCTCCCCATTAATTTCAATGCAGCTCTCTGTAAATTGGTGGACAAAATGTTTATGTACACTTCTGAATTCATTCTGCTGCTACCATCATCAGTTAAATCATCAATAAATATTCATGAGCCTGAGCTTGTATGCTTCAGATCATAAGCAGTTCCTTTCTTTCTCCACACTTTGGCCTTTCCATCACTTTGCTAGAGATAAGTCTTGGTCTAATCAGTCCATAAGATTGTGCTCCAGAACTTTTGCGGCTCATCTCTGTACTTCTTTGCAAATTTCAATCTGACCTTCCGATTCTTCCTGCTGATGAGTGGTTTGCATCTTGTGGTGTGGCCTCTATATTTCTGCTCTCTGAGTCTTCTTCCAACAGTGGATTGTGATACCTTCACCCCTGCACTGTGGAGGTCGTTTGTGATGTCACTTACTGATGTTTTGGGGGTTTTCTTCACAGCTCTCATGATATTTCTGTCATCAACTACTGTTGTTTCTCTTGGCCAACCTGTCTGACGTCTGTTGCTCAATACACCAGTAGTTTCTCTCTTTTTCAGGACATTCTAAATTGTTGTGCTTGCTGTGTCCAATGTTTGTCCAATGGCTCTCGTCGATTTTCCTTCTTTTCTCAGCTTGACAATGGCTTGCTTTTCTCCCATAAACAGCTCTCTGGTCTTCATGTTGGTTTATCCTCTTTAACAGGAAATGCAGTCCTTATAGGTTTGAACCAAGGATGAAAACTTAGACTAGTCATGCAGAGCTATTTAATGTTTGGACAATCAACCTAAAAGGCAACACCTGGGCAACAACAAACATCTGTCAGTCACATGTTCCAATAGTTTTGCTCACTTGAAAAATGGGTGGGTTCAAACAAAGGGTGGTATGTCTTGAGTTGTTTAACACATCTAGATGTGAATACCAGGAAATAAAAGCTGAAATTCTGAACTCTTGTCTCATACTCATGTGTCTTAAACCCAAATGTCTTCAGTGAACAACAAAAACAAAGGAATTTGCCTTACTGTTCTAATATTTTTGAAGGGGACTGTATCTTGTGCAATTTATTTCAAAATTACCATAACTTACATATACTGGACGGTTACAGACATCAAAAAGGGGATAGGAAAACTACATTTCTCCTTGTTTACGTTCTGGGAACGTACAAACTATGTCACTATCTATGTCTAGATAGTGCTTTAGAAAACAAACTGAGGGAA